GGGAAACGAAGAGTGCGTTCATTATAGTCCTCCCAAAGAGATAATTTCACTCATGTCAGATTTAGAAATCGATATGAAATAGTATTAGAGATCGATTTTCCGATGAGAGATTTTGATTTTGGGCGATTAGGGTTTGCTGGTGCGATTGGGATGAAAAAATTCCCAAAATGGAGGAAGAGAGGATAAAATAGACGGTATTTATGTCACGTTAGCTACTTGTGTGCTTTAATCGTTTATGGGTGAGGACCACACTCCCCTAAAACATATAAGATGAAAGTTTTTACCCTTTTGACAGAAGAGTTAGCTTAAGCATTTGAAAAAATTTGAACATCGCGCTTAAAGAAGATATTTCATACCTGGTTCGAAATCTTGATACAAGAATTTGAGTTTTGTGTGTTGCTTCCAACTGATGGAGGTACTTTTTCTTCTGACCACTCACCTTCTGACCCATATCATTCCTAGTAACGTGGCCACACTCCCGAGGACGGTGATCAATTACATATGGTCTTACACATCGAGTTACTTGAGTTATTGTTGATTCAGGCACAAATACTTCTAAGGCTCCATCTTGTAAACCAACTACACAAATAATGCTAAGAGATTCGCCTAACCTAATGATATGTGGGAGTAAGTGATTCGCTTAACTCGAAGGTTATTATTTGATCTCCAACAATTTTTTTTTATATTTGGTAATTTTCCATAAATATTATTTTGTTTTTTCTTGGATCGATTCAAAATATAATTTAGTTCGATAAAATAATACTCCCATTAATATCACAAATGTAGTGTATAAAATTTTACACAAACATAACTAAAACATATTTATCTTTGAAAAGAACAAGGCCAACCCTAGTTTTCTCTTTAGGGAAGCAGTTGTCGCTACAATAGCTTTTTGAAGACAATCGTGGTTTGGTCCGACGATTGGCGGCATACATAGCACCGATGTCGGTCTCGTTAGTTTTTACTCTTTGACGTTCTCTTACCGTGTTTTGTCTACTTTTGGTTGTTTGGAATATGGTCATTTTCTCTGTTTTTCTTATTATGATCACTTGGTTATGTCCCCTTTCATCATCAGCTAAGTTTTCTTCTTCTCTAGTTTTTCCAAATAATTCATGTATTGGTGATGTACATCAGCAACCTGTCCTCGATGTTTCTCTTTTCCTTAGATAAAAATTTTGAGCTTGGTATTGGCTTGAATATCATTATGAAGAAGCCTTAGGGTGTTTTAGTTTCTAGTCACCAGTTCTTGTTGGTGGTCATCTTCGTCTTGTTTCTACAGTTTATTAGTATTTTGTGTTTGGCTTTGTCTTAATCTTAGCCGCGAGCTTAGGCGGTAGTGGTTTTAAGGGTGTCTTCAATTCCGTTGTAATACTCAATATGTACGTACGTGTTCCTTATGTGTAAAGTCTTCGGGTAAGAGAATGCTTTCCGGTAATACTCAACTTCAGAGTATGTTTGCAGAGGTGGTTTGAATTGTTTGGATTTATTTGAATCTATGTATATTAAGTTAATTCGGTGTTAAGTTAGCTTTTCAGTTGTAAAGTTTCTTTTTTTAGACTTTGTCTCTACTGTTGTGGAATTGTGATTTTCCTCTTGCGGGATTGTGGTTCTTATGTGGTGGGACTGTGACTCCAGTATTTTACATGTTGAATGCCGGCAAAAGTCTCTTCTTATGTATTTTAAACTCGGGTTTAAAATATTATTAACAATTGGGAAGAAAACAAAAGTAAGACAGGATAATGATTTTATTGTTGTTATTTGTTTTTTTCTTAAATTAAAATTTTGTTAGAAGTCATTTATTTAATGATGGATTTAAATAGAGTTTAAGGGGGTTATAGTATTTAATGATTATTTTAAATACTTTATCAAAATATATTGATATTGGTTATAGTATTTACAATCTCTTTATAAAAAGAG